CCCCAAAACCCCAAAACCCCAAAACCCCACCAGTTCGAATCGAAGACATAAAGATTCATTAAATAATTATAAAAAAGTTAAAAATTTATTAGCTAAACTGAAAATAAATTTTCAATAGTCTGACTTCTAAACATTCATTCATCTGCCAGATTTACTATAATTAGATTTCCACTATGTTTCATTCAATTTTAACTAAAAGTCTTAAGTTAAACCATCATTTCCTTTAAACCTTCAACAACCTCTTTCTTTATATTCTTAGTCCTCTATCGCTCCATCGATAGTTCTTTTTGCAAACTTCTCATTGCTTTTCTAGGCTCCTTTCTAATGCGGTATTCATCTTTTCTGAGTTCTCTGATATCTAGCTTAGTTGGCTGAGAAAAGCCTGGTGAAAATATAGATTAACTGATGTTTTTAGTGTAGTCTTAGACTCTCACCAATTAATGAGGGTGCAGCACTTGAGGCTTTTCCTGTTAGTGGAAATCAATGACTGAGGTGAAAGCCATATTAACATGAGGTTTGCGATTGCTTGAGTAGCTAGATCTAATTGGTGTCTTGCCACCAAAACTATAGAAAGTATGATTGTGCTCCAAGTTAGGCTTGACATTTGTATGCTTTGGTCCTACTGAGGTGTGAAATGATGCTGTTATTGGTCTACTTCTATCTGAGAAGCCATTTGTCGAATAGTTTCTAGCTGACTTTAAGGGTGGACACTACTGGTAATACTGAATATTATATGGAGCGTTTCTAACCATTCCCTAATCTCTCATAGAATTTGGGTCACTGGCGTTATTATATGTGCTATCATTTAGGTAAAATCCGTACTACTTCTTATCACGTTGATCTCTGTTAAGTCTTGTGAACGGGGTGATGTAATTTGATGAGCACCAGCATGATGCTGTTGAACCTCCATGGAAAGACTGCATCGTTCCATCAGTTATCTATCCCTGAATATCTGCGAATCTACAATAAGGTATGCTATTGAAATATGAAATACTTTCTTGAGTTGCCTAACTCTCTGTTTACTCTTTATTGCCATGCAGCGTGATCAGCTTAGTGACTTAGTTAATTGACAAGCATTTTAAAGAACAATAAAAATGATTTTATTTTATTTATATTAAATTTTTTAATTTTCTGAGCGCTATTAATCTAATTGGTACCTTAATGCAGCTTCATGGGGTTTTGGGGTTTTGGGGTTTTGGGG